TGTCATGTGGACGGTATCCTGGTTGAGCTTATGTTCTCAATTTGAATGGTTGTGTGCTTCTGCGCTGTCTTCATTGTGCAGATTGTTGATTATGGCGCTGCTAGTTGTTGCGTAGAAGGCACTGGTGGTAGTCTGACGAGTGTACAACAGAAGAAAGTGGATGACGCCTTCGTGCAGGTCACGTCTGATGTGAAGCTCCTTTGTTTGTGTTTTTTTGGTGAAGATTTTATTCCCAAAAGTGGGATAGCACCTTGGTTATTGTTGCATGATTATATGAATAAATTCAATAATTGAATATTCTTCTTTTTTTCTTTTTTTTTCTATGTGAGCCTGATTGGAACGTAGCTTTTATTTGAAAATAAATGGTTACCGAACTTACCGATAACAAAAATACAAGGAATAGTAGTACCAGTGGTTGCACAGACTTCCTAGTTGATGTTCCGGCCAAGCTCAGAAGGAAGACTGGAGCAAATGTCAGAGAGATCTAAAGAAAACAGGCTGTAAGGGGGGAAATGGGTCACGTAAATGCATGTACATGCGGACCCGTGCGGGGGGAGGGGGGGGGGGATGGAACCTGCAGAACTCCTCTCCTCCCCCTTATTAAAAATAAATAAATAATCAGCAATGAAGTTGACAACAATAGAATACATACCTGCCTGGTGGTTGAATGGTCTACACATGGGAAAAAAAAAAACAAAAAAAAAACACGGAATGGTACACACAATGTCACACGTGTAAGCTGTCCGTGAAGATTGGAGGACTGGAATGTGCTATGGTAATAATGGTATCTTTATCTTCTTTTTTTTTTCAATGGTAAATTTAAAATTTGAAATTTCTTTACTTTCGTCTGATTGCTGCAGGATTGGGATTTTGAAGTGTGATCTTTTTTTTTTTTTTTTTTTTTTTTTTGTGCAAGCTATACGAGTGAGAGTGATAGACATAAATCCAAATTGCAAAATCATGCTGTAGTCCAGATAGTCATGTACCAAGCAGAGAGCACAATGCACCAAGAT